CTGATCCCTGAAGTGTTCTTCCCATCGATCCAATCTCCTGGATTGAGAGTGTATAATATGTTCATCTTTTTCAGAGATAGTTTCGCTAACAGTCAGTTTCCTAATACCGGTTTCCTTAACAAGTCTGAACAATTGTCTGCTATTACCTATTGCCGCTGCCTTTTCCATCTCTCTTGCTTTCGCTACCCACCACTGTTCACGATCATTGCGTAGGCTTCTTGTCAGCTTGCGCTTAAGCTGACTCCGCTCTTCGTTATGTTCAGAGCCAGATGGAATGAGTTTTTGAGCCATGCTTAGACGAAACATCTATTGAGTGCTTCTTGGTTTTGAATGGTTATTTAGCTATAGTCGATCTGTGATTTAAACTACAAAACAATCATTTCAATAAGCAATTGAAACTATAACACAACAATGCATGTATTAATTTACTTGAAGATGATAACCGACTGGATAAAATGGCGGGATCGTCGAGTTGCCATGTAAATGAGGAAGCTTGAAAAAGAAAACAAAAGATTATGTGTATAATTTAAGTTACGTAATGAGACAATCGACATAATTCAAATTCAGTGTTATAGTATGAACAAGATAATAGAAGTGCCTTCCCTAGTTAAAAACAAAATACATTCACAGAATAGGAAATATATAAGCAGGCTTGATTGATGTGTCAATACTTCAAGATTCCATATAATTCATTAAGTTTTGATACTTTCTTCATTGATAACAATATAAAATAGGTAAAACAAAATTGTACTATTGGTAGCCGAACTTTTGGTAATACTAAGTTCTTTGAGCTAATAAACTGATTGAGAAGCTTTAATTATCATTCTGAACAACAGTATAATGATAAACGCTGTGCAATCAAACCATTTCGGTTTAAAGAATGCAACACCATCAAAGGTATCCATTTGAATTGTAAATCATCGCCATCAGTATCCTAAATATTACAACAGACGAAAATTAACAGTAAACAAAAGTATGTCAACCTGCTTTTCTTTCTGTTTTATTATTTATGATCCGGTAAATATTTGCTACAATAAAAGACATGAATAATGTGTCACATTTGGTATACAGTCTATGACATTACTCTTTCATATCTAGAGTAAATCACAATGTTTTCACAAAGATTCAATATTTCAATGAATCTAACCAACAAAGACATGGATTAACCGTTAGGGAGACGCCTTTCCACAGAACCTAGATGAGAAAAGTAGATTTAGGGGCTATTCATTATTGTACAGATTCTGAAACCTAAGTGGACTACTACTAGTTTAGAAGCAGGATTTATCAACTCCATTAAAATGGAACGTTCATATATACCGAATTCGTTTAACCAATAGATAGTTCTAGAAAATAAACTGGTCAAGGACGAAATAACATTTACACAAAATAAATTAAATGATTATTAGAGCTATAAGAGTAGTGAATATTCATAATAGCGTACTTGAAGTCTGGAGAAAAAAAAACATTTAACAATAAAAGAAATTATGAAATTATATAATTATCAATTTCCTTGGCCAATATACACGAATCAGTAAATAAATATGAAAAAAGAAGTTATTTGTTAAACAACCGAATACAACCTGTAAATTATGTAAATCAGTAAGAGATTATAGTGATTAAATAGTTAAATTCATAAGTCGATATAAGCTAGACCACCATTGAAAACCTAGAAATATTGATTGGCCGTTTCGTCTTAGTATAGGACTCTTTAGTGGGATCGTAGATGCGAACTAATGAGAAGTTCAATACTAAGATGAAATGGCCATTCAGTGTTGCAAAATTTTCAATGGTGATCTAGCTTACAATGACTCACAAATTCAACTAATAAATTTTACACGTATCTAATTTTGACTTCTTGTAAATTCTAACTCTTATTCGTCTTATTTTATAATAACTGTAATAAATTACAACGATTTAGTCAATATAAGAGATTAGATTAAAAATGAGGTTATAGGGTTAGATCTTAAAAAAAAGCATTCATACAGACATTATCATGATAACCAATAAATTTTTAAGATAAAGATAAAAAACGGTGGGAATATTAATTATGGACGACTTTTAAGTGTCGCTAGACTGACCTTCAGAGTGTACACCTAATAACCAGGACCAAAAAAGGGTTATAAACCTGTGTAAGGAATTAAAATTATGATTTACATTTGATGGTCAAAAGTTAGAAATTAGATTTAGGGTTTTCATCATGAATTGACATTAGCTACAATGCGGGAATCCTATTTAGCCAAATGGATGAGTGAATTTCGAGCCAAAATCCGAGACCTATTATCTTATACCTGATTGGTTCGTCTATAAATTATAGTTTCACCAGGAAAAATTAATCAATATATACAATGATTGATAAACGAAAGAAATTAAAGATAATTACTAATGTGAAGATCAAATTAGGAAAGATGAACTATGAAATTAGCTTTTGAGAGAAAGATATAGAATAATAAGAGTATCACAACTAATAGCTTATAGAATTCTTTAAAACGTTAGCTGAAATACTTATCATAGATCAAAGCATGAATTAAAATGATTGATTAGTAGGTTATTTATCTTAAAATGAATAGTTATCTTGAAAGTCTATCTTCTATGTTTATTAAATCTACTTGACCTAACAATAAATCTCTAAACATTAAACGTCACATTCATATTTACTGTTTTAGACGCAAAAATAAACTTTAAACAGAGTCAGTCCGTCATTAACAACGTAGAAATTTGTACATACGTACATCAGTTCAAGTTGCCCCCAAATGCCCTGGTACGGCCGAGAGTGAGGAGAAACCGCTCTCCCTCTAGAAATGCTCTCACATAGCCACGCGTATATAGCCTCTACCAGGGAAGTCTTACTCACTGCCTTCTCGCACCACGAGTATTGTTTACGAAAATGAGAGGACGAAAAGCGAATGTCCGGCGCTTTAACCGGATCCCAAACTGATGGTGCACATGGGCTCCAGTATCCTGAGGGAACAAATGGCGTATGAACCAATCGTTGGTCACCGGCTACCATGGGACTGCATCTCCTTACGATGCTCCACTGCCTTGTGGATCAGACCTTCAGGTCGAAGGCTCGGAGTGTGGCCCCTTAAGAAAACCACCTGCTTCGGTTTGGGCACCCGTGTAGTATCACAGCCCTCATACATATCGAATAAGATTTGTGTGGCGCATATGTATTTGATGCCTTCTTGTACCAATATCTGTGTTAAAATAAATAATAAATAATAATACCACTTAGCACAGAATCTTAAACAGAACTTATAGTAATAAATATAACAAGGGACTTTTTGTCTAGCTACTAACTCACCCCCACCAACTACTCCTGAATGAAAAGATAAGTATTTATACTTGCTTTAATCGACAATGATAATTTTCTATTGTAACCATGAATCTCATAACTTCTGGTAATAAACGATACTCTTACATTTTGACAATTAAAAAAAAATATATAATTTACTTTCTTAGTTGAACCAATGCTACATTGTAAAATAGAAACAAGACAGAAAAAATACTAAATGTGCGCCAAAATTAATTACCTGAATTAGTTGAAGTAGGATGGGAATCCATATCGGTTAGGCCTGTGTTGCAGCAGAAACTACTATTATTAGTAGTATTATTATTATTCTGAAAAGAAAAGCCGGAGAAGATTCTATAAGCCATTAACACTGAATATATCAACAGAATTATTAAACTGCAAGAAACTCATTAACATAACTCACTAACATTACATTACAGTGCAAATGTACAACACTTTGAAATTGCCTTATAACATAATCAATCTATTATATAAGAAGTGAAAAGTCAGTAGTTAATAAACGAATCAGATGATAAATCATCTGTATATAGTTGAGATTAATGCGTTAGTATATGTAATCCAACTATTAATCACCTACCTTTAGCAAAAAAAAGGCAAAAAATCAAAACTAATTTCAATTAGAGATGTAAAGCATTGAACACCGATCTGGTGGTTTTTAAAGCAAAGTGCACACTAAGAAACTTCAGGGTCCTACATTGGGCCCCTGACAACGTCATGTGTACACACTGCTGAAGAGTATCATACTAGGACGAAGCAGCTGTCTGGTGCTTCCTAGTTTTCAATGGTATTCTAGTTTATGACGAATGTGTTCTATGAACATGAATTTAAAGAACGGGATGAAAGAGAAAGTATAATGACACAAAAACCTACTTATAATTTTTCTTGCTGTTGTGATGTTTAACTAGACTTGTTTTAAAGTTCCAAATTAAATTTGCCTGCTCATTACACTACAACAAGCAATTAACACAATCATATCTTATCTTTCAAGAATCTGAGGTTAAAATATTATTAGGAATTTTCCTACTCCTAAAATGACCAATAATAAGATCCATTCATTGACCTTCCAAAACACTGTGTAAATTCGCTACTGATCGATCATTCAACATAAAATGCAACAATGCCATCCGTACATTAAAAAAAGATACTTGTTGGTCTTTTACTACTACAGGGTAGTAAAATGCTTTAGAAAATAACAAAAATAAATACGAAAGTGTCATTTAACTACCTGACAATAATTAGTACTAATGTTGAAAGAGAGTAAGATAATATCCTCATGTAAGTACAATTACCAGTCAGCTATAAATCATACATTTTTGTGTACAGGTTTAGGCAATCATACTTGGACGAAAAAATATTGAGAGACATAAATTTAAGCTATTAAGTCATAACGGTAGTAACAATTTATATATATATATATATACATAAGATGTTTTTTGAGTGTCGCAGTAGCAAATTTAACGACTGTATAAGGAGTGTGATGATGTAACAAACTAAAGTCCAATAACTTACTAAGTATATCGAGATATTAACCGGTTCAGTACAACCGATGGGAGCTCCTAAACATAAACTACTTTCTACGCAACACTTATCAATAAGATGTAGATAGTTATGAGAAAACTGATGAGATTAGAATAGGCATTACCCAGTTTTACAGAGATATTTGCACTGAACTATTTTAACTGTCACTGCCTTTATGTAGAACTGAGATTATTACATTACGAAACACTAACATGTAGTGTTTATTTGTTTAGGCAACTTGATATTGACCAACATTTTACCTGATAAGTATTTTTGAAGCCAAATTTCAGAATAGGTGAAATCTATACAACCCATTCTTCAAAATTCCAACTATGAAATAACAAGGTGATACTTCACATCACTTTTATTTTGAACATCCTAGTAACCTTGACATACGGAAAAGATATATATGATCTATAGTCGAGTACATGAATTCAAAATAGGTTATTGAGTTGCACTAATTTAGAATGATGATGGGGTTGCGCAAAATCGTAGACTGATTGGAGTTAAACATTAATACTTTTGGATGCCAGTCGGCTCAGAGGTCTTGAATTAAGAGTTCATACGCGGAACCGAAGGTCTTGGGTTTAATTTCAGAGTGAGGGGTGGTGCTTCCAGGTTTTCAATGTTGGTCTAACTAAGATCAGTTCGTGATTTCAGCTGTTAAAATATTTTGTAGTTTTTGTTGGACAAAACCCGTAGTAATATTTCTAGAACAATGTGCATTTTACAATCATGCTTTAATAGTTAAAGGACAATTTTCAGATGTGCTGAGATGGAAGATGGTTCAAAGATAACGGACAATGTAACTTAAAAGCTGATCATATAAATGCATATTTAGTGGATGAGTTACGATTGGAAGCAATGATTATTTATCTATCTAGAAATAGACCAAATCATAAGGAAATGTGTCTAAATATTATCAAAAAAATTCATCTATCTACGAAGTTGGACCGAATTTTGTACATATCAGCCATGAAGAATGAGAATTAAACACAATCAAAGTCGAAGTTTGATATGAGAATTCAAATTTGTAAAGTGATAATTTGAATGACAGAAATCTTCATTAAGGTTTAGTATAAATTCTAAAAAACATTATTAGCATAAGAGGTTTGTGGAAGCTGATGAGCTTTATAGTTAACATCGTGGACGGATCTTAGTTAGACAACCATTCAGAATCATAGGGGACTTGCTGGCAGTTTCTCTCTAGTACGTGACTACTCATTGACTATGATCATACACGATCCGACTGTAGATCGAATGTAAGCTTTCAGTAGTTTGACTGTTAAACGCTCGTTACGAGACCTGGTGCTCCTGAGTCTTATTCCCGAAGGGGTCGAGAATAAGCACTCTCGAGCAATCCCATACTAGGGCAAAACATGTATCCAGCCTTCCCTGGTTTTCTTTTTTTAATTTATTTCAATGCATAGATATTGGTACAAGAAGGCACCAAATACATATGCGCCACACAAATCTTATTCGATATGTGTGAGGGCTGTGATACTGCCCGGGTGCCCAAATCGAAGCAGGTGGTTTTCTTAGGGGGCCACTCCCCGAGCCTTTTCCACTGCATTTGAATTGGCCATATGGTTTGAGATAATAAAAGTTCTCTCAAAAAATCGCGCGTTTACAGCATATGTAATAGAATTTCTACTCGTTTTATGAAGATGAGAACGAAAAGCTTTACTTAGTGTGTGTGTGTGTGTCTGTGAGGGGGTTGACTTCAAACGTTCCAAATTAATTAAAAATACTAATCTCAAACGCTTTTAGCCTAACCCGTAACTGATAGAAAAACAAAAACCTGTTTAGAAAGTCCAATGAATAATTTGAACAGATAGATTAATGCTCTATAATTCACACAACAAACTAGACTTAATAGGAGGATAATCGCCAAAAATAATCCAAACTACAAACATACATACACACACACACACTTCGGTAAACGCAACGAAGTATTGAAATTGCCAATGACTAACATAGATATTCACTGTTAAAAAAAAAGTATATCTCTATGTATTAATGAAACAATTACAATATAAACATTTTAAAGCAAATCACACAACAACAAAAATTTTTTTTAAAGAAAAACCAAACAAGAAAAAACAGAGGACACTTACTACACATAGAGTAGATAGTAATTTTGTTTTTTTTTCCGAACAAGAGAAAATAATAATAACAATAGAAAGAAATCAGTGACAGTATCATAAGTGGTTTACAAATTAATATTAATAATAATAATAATAATAACGATAATAATAGTAATGATAATAATAATAATAATAATACAACTATAACATAATGGGTTTTGTGGAGATTTCTAGGAATTTCACTGGTTGAAATCATGAGTCTTCAGGAGACACTCCTGGAGTTCTAGTGAGAAGTCGTTACTAACGGAGTTCAATCAGGTCTGTGTTATGAGATAGGAACCCACTGTAGACAATGGTGTACGGATGGCGCAACTTTGTGGATCGGTTGAAGTTAGACATTAACACCGTTAGATGCCCGGCTTAGTGGTCTTGTTGGTTAGGCGCCTGGCGCGAGACTGATAGGTCCTGGGTTCGAATCTCGCGGGGGACGGGGTCGTGGATGGGCACTGCTGAGGAGTCCCATACTAAGACGAAACGGTCGTCCAGTACTTTCAGGTGGTCTAGCTTCAATTGACTCATGATTTCAACCAGTGAAATACAACTATAATTATTTATAGTAGTACAGAATCAATAAACTGGAACGAAATGAAAGCTACCAATCATAAATACATTTTTTTCTAGAAAAAACAAATGTGGGAAACATTAGTATACTAAAGTGTTTTGTTGGACAGTCACCACCTGATAAGAGAAAGAAAGAGAGAGATCACTTTTATCTAAGTTATACAAATAGTAAGAGTAGTAACCAGTATGATAAGATTTGTTATCGTTTTTAGTCATAATGTTTATACAATTTCTAATACATGTAAAAACTGAACATTCTTTAGAACAAATACACCTAAGATTATCAACATCATGTTTGTTAAGAATAATAATTTATTGGATATAAAGAAGTTATGAATTCTAATAGAGTTTTGTTCTCTGAGCTAGGTGGTATGGTCTTGGAGCTTTCATCATTCTTCTGAACGACATCGTCAGCACAAACGTCTACCTGAAGTTACCGCTGGTGATGGTGACGTTCAGAAGAACGATGAAAACTTCACGACCAAACCATCCAACTCAGAGAACAAAACTTCATCAAAATCATCCACCTGAGCTACAAATCTTCTCAACCATCTCAAAATTATGAATTCAATAGAGATTTATTGTTTTCTACAAATTGATCTGTATGTCGTTAACAATTTAAAAGTATGAAATCTTGTAATTAACAACTTGACACAAATTATCCCCAATTGAAATATTTTAAAGACACTTCACCGATATCATTCAGTCGAATTACAAATCATCGTCATTTCAATAGACCCCAAATGCCTTGGTAAGGCCGAGAGTGGGAAGAGCCGACTCTTCCTCTCGAAATGCTCTCAAGTGGCCACGTGCATACAACCACTGACATGGAAGTCCTAACCACTGCCTTCTCGTGGTGGGGATGTTGTTTACGAAATTGAGAGGACGAAAAGCGAAAGTCCGACATTTTAACCGAGTTGGTGGACACGGAGGATCCACCTAGGGGAGTTGGAAAACCCTCATTCCAAACCAATGATGTACACGGGCTCCAGCATCGTAAGGATACAAATGGCGTATGAACCTATTGTTTGTGACCGGCTATTATGTGACTGCATCTCCTGACGTTGTTCCACTGCCTTGTGGATCAGACCTTTAGGTCGAAGGCTCGGGGTGTTGTCCCTTAAGAAAACCACCTACTTCAATTTGGGAACCTGGGCAGTATCCCAGCCCTCACATAAATCGAATGATTTATGTGGTTTCCTTGTACCAATATTTATATGTTCAAATAAATAAAATAAAAATCAATAGATCTATTACATAGTATCATCTGCAGTAAACCAATGCATTGCTTTAGTCTTTTTCAAAACAAACATACTGAATTTCAAATGTCATATATGCAAGAAACGTAATCTAAAACTCTATTTCAATTATCATTATTCTAATTTTTAGTCTTTTAGTTAATTGGTTAAACTTTTAATTAAAAACGACATTCCTTTATTTTCCTATACTTTTCTTCTAGGTATATAGATTTCATTTTGAAGTTTATCTTAACACGTTATGTAACTTTCTGTTTTAATAGTTAGTTAATTTCTGTCAATTTCCTATGAAATGTTTAATTAACTTCGTTCTAAAGTTTTATAATAAAACGTCGTTTTCAAATGGGAGTTGAAATAGCCATAGCTGCTTCAAACTGAGGGACAAAATCTGGTAACGGATTCAGAAAGCTCGGTTAGCTTTGGACAATTTGTCAATGTTGATGTAGAACAGATATCCGTCTCATAACCAAAGGATGAGTATACCGCATAACAGTTAGCTGTGTTCTAGGTTATGGTTGTAAAAAACAGCACTTAAAAACAGAGGATATTTGTAGTTTACTAGTATTTGATCAGCAATACTCTCGGAACATTGCTCATGTATGTTGGGGTCACCGAATGAGCAATCTTGAGATTAAATGTCAGGTACTAGCCAAAGATGGCAAGTAGATTCATGAAATTGTGAATCTTCATAGACTTATATGGTTGCCGAATATATCACTTATGTCTAGCCACCGTCTACATTGACGGGCGATGATGACTACTGTAGAAATAAATATGAAAGCTAAGGGTGACCAAATCAGAAAATAACATCGGTTCGTAAAGTCAACGACTTTTGAACTAAAGTGCAGGCAGGTGCAAACTACCTGGCAAGGGTCCACTGGGTTAGCGTAACCAATAGTTAGAGAATTTGGGTAAAATTGCTCACAATCGTTCGACATGCTGAGGCTGCATTCACTCCTCGCCTTTTCTAAAATCTCAAAAAATTTGTTTATTCGTTCTTCATATGTTCTTTTCGAACCATATATGCCATGTGCAATCTTTTCTACTACCACTAATACTGGTCTGACATTTCACTTTGCTGACAAAGTGTGGTAACTTGAACAGGTGAAGATATGTTCCATGTTCTAGGTTGAGGATGACTGACTGGTTAATATATCAATTCGACATTTGTAAAGCAGCTCCTATATTTTGGGCTTAATTATTATAGAGTGAACTAGTCACAGAATAAGGATACGTGTATTAGTCAATGAATTGAACCAGAGAATCATAAAAGCATTTGTATTCTTGCTGAGAGGTGTTAGCCACGGACACATTGGGACTCGTAAGAAAAATGAAGTAGTTAAACCACTCAACTAGTCTTCAACTTATGATCATTTTATGCATTAAGTAGGATCAATCTTGAAACAATATTTTGCAAACATGTATATATTAATCAGTCTAATGGCAACAGGATACATTAATACAATAAATTAAAAAATTCTATGAATAAATCTATGGATTGCTAGTTTATATAATCACAATCAGTAAGTCACACATTCAAATTTAACTTCAAATATCGAACACTGATCATCTAATGAGTACTGTAATTATATAGCTTTATGAATAAACTTGGATGCAGTTACTGAATTAAAGTAACCGCATCCATGGTAGTATTTATTTTATTGTGTTAATGAAGTATGACAAAACTTGGACCGATGCAAATATGTGCCTAGTCCTATGTTGTAACTGACTGACTCGTTTGGCTTTTGCCAACTTACGTCACCTATGGCGAAGGTGAGATATCCTTCTATCAATAAAAGGACGAGTACACTGCGCGGCAGTCCATTCTGTTTTAATTTACGGCAGCGAAACGTGGCCATTAAGAGTAGAAGATACTCGTAAGCTACTAGTGTTTGACCACAGATGCCTCAGAAATATTTCTGGCGTCTGCTGGGATCACCGGGTAAGTAATAGTGAGTTTAGACGCAGGGTATTAGGGAATGATGGTAAACCATTTGATGAGGTTGTGAATCTTCATCGACTGAGATGGTTGGGCCACGTGTTACGTATGCCCGAATACCGATTACCACAACGCTCAATGCCGACTAATGTTGGAGATGGTTGAAAGTTAGGGGCGGCCAAACCAAAACGTGGCATCAGTGCTTGAAGTCACTAACTTCTAGTCTGAACCATATTGGTAGATACAGACTACTTGGTTGGGGTCCGTGTGATTATTGTAACCAATGGTTGGAGACTCTTGGCGACATAGCTCAGAATCGATCACAATGGTGTATGTGTATGCACTTTCTGTCTTCCCTTAAACTAAGAGATTAAAATCGCTTCATATCTTTCTTTCTATGAACTAAGTCTTTCTTCCTGTACAATATCCTTATATGCAATCTTTCTTTTATATATTACCACCTCTGAATTGACTACTTTTATGAATCCGGTGTCCATCTTGTTGTGTTAATGAGGTATGGCAACTTGGACCGATGCATATATGTGCCTGATCCTACGTTGTAGCTGATTGATTGACTGACTAGTTACTGAATCGAATTGCCGACAGATAACGATAACAATTATAGAGAGCTATTTATTATTATTATTATTTTAAAGGAGTATAACGATCTATCCCTATAAGAAGTACAATTCATGTTGCTGTTGGTTTTTTCAAAACAAAAAAAAAAATTCGCGCTTTCAATAAATAGTAAACACTGAACAAGAACACCAGTGGGGACAACCGAATGTCAAATAAAAAAAAGAGTAAATAATGTAGGATGTAATCATTTCAGATGTATTATGTAATCATTTTATTGTATATAAATGTTTGAACATGATTTAAATAAGATTGAAAGGTTAATCGCTTCCATAACGAGTGGATTAATGGATATACAATTAATCTAATAAGATTTACATCGTGATAATACTACTTATATGTATTAATCTTAATAGAAAAAATAATAATAAAAATATTAATCATGTCAAAATATTGAAATGTGACAGACAATATTAATGTATACAGTGAAAATCAAAGTTACTAATGATAATCTGAGTTAACATTGATTATGTTACAATATTTATCTATCTCACAGTTTGAAATCATGAGTCGATTGAAGCTAGACCACCATGGAAAACCTGAAAGCACTGGTGCAGGATCGTGGATGCGCACTGCT